AGAGGAGAGGAGAGGAGAGGAGAGGAGAGGAGAGGAGAGGAGAGGAGAGGAGAGGGAATTAATTACAGTATTTGGGAATCTTTAATGAAAGGAGAGAATGTGTGTATGTGTGTGTGGAGAGATGGTCCTATGGGGATGCTACACAATGGAAAAGTGCTAAGCATATTAATAATTTATAAAACAATTAGTATCCAGCTTATCCCACAAATTCATATCTGAATCCAGATCCAAACTGTCCCTAATGGGTGCATTTAGCCTTTTTGTTCAAACCCTGCTCTATTTGTCAATGATGCTACTGGCCTCAGAACAACTCTTCCAGCCAAGTCTTGCTCTAGTTTGTTCCTGTGTGAAGCCAGAGCTGATTCACAGAAGTCTGTGAAGGAGTCCCAGATTCACTCTGTGGTGAATGAGAACTAATTAAATTCATTGCAAAATGCCCTATTTAGCAGGTTGAGATGAAGCAGCATTAAATAATGCTACAACGCTTTCATAAACATCAGAACGTATGAAAATTGTTCAAAACATCATTTTCCTCTTATTTGCTAGTAAGAATTAGACAGCAAATCACCACTGCAATTTCTTTGGTAATACAAATACCAGAGTTGGAGCTTTGCTTGAGTTCTGCTAAGAACACTTATGAGTTTAGTGATGGATTCAAAACATGCTTTACAGGTGACCTATAAAATTCCTGTCTGTGGTTCATCTCCCCTGTATTTAATCCTAAGACATGCAAACTCTTTGTTGGGCTGTTAGAATCTATCTGGTGGATTCTAAAAGAAGTCAAACGTAGGTGAGCTTTGCTGCTCTGCTTCGGGATGTTGAAGGTGATGTAAGAGAGATCCTGTTAATTCCGTGCCTCGAGGGCGCTGCTCCAACAGATTGCCTTGCCAATCACAAGCAGAAAAACTTCCAAGAACACGAACTGTTTCTAGGAAAATGGGACCATGGGATAAAATAAGGGCTCCTCGCAGCACAAAGCAGGTCACCCACAGCACTGAGCAGACACCCATCGCTGTCTGAGCTGTGGGAACAGATCCTTTGATGCTGATGTGTGACTAAATGAGGCAGGTCAGAAGCCAGGAGATGGGGTGGAAAGAAATAGGTTGTGACAGATACACAGAGAGGTCTTCACATGTGTTTAAGCACGAGCGGGTTTGATCACTCAACTTAATTGTTGGCTTCAAATGATGATGGTACTTCAGAAATGTAACAGTGAATGGAAAAAGTCTCTGATTTTTTAATCTGGACGTTTCCCTGATCACACATTAATTTACTGTTAATAATTTACCAAAGCAACAGCTCATCGGGGACTTTTGATGTTTGCAAAGCCACAGTCCAGAGTGAAAAAATAAGAGCTGCAAGGATGAAATAGGAAAGTTATGTTTAAGAAGAGCATTTCTCTCCTGACACCTCTTAGAGTATGGGCACAAACCAGTCCCAGGGGTGGAGTAATGCATCAGCCCCACGGGCGCTGCTGACTCAGTTGTACCCACAAAAATACAACAGCAGAAGGAATTCTCATCACTGTAATGACAGCGATGTGAACAGTCTGAGGGACAGGTCTGAATTAATTTTGAAGTGCAGAGTAGTATCTATATATGTGCAAGCTGGCCAAAAGGGAAGCCAATGGGATTCTGGTCTTTGATTCCTGAATGTTCTCATTTACTTATGGCAAAGGCTAGATCCAACACCTTGTGCCATGTACAGGTATTGACACTCTCTCATGGAAAAGAGGTCATTTTCAAATGAGTCTTCTTTGTAAGCTCACCTACTACTGTGGTGATGAGAAATCACCACCAAAATTAATCTGTAGCATTTGGCTACAGGATTCAGTTAAATAACATAGCAGCTCCCTGACTGAGGAAAAGTAAAACTGTTTGAATATTTAATATGTATGAAAACCAATTAACTGTGCCTATCTGATTCAACCTCATAAATTAATAACACCCCTGCTAGACTCCCAGCAAATCAACTGGAATTCAAGGGCCCTTTAAAGGTTAGTTTCAGATTCCGAGGTAAAGGAATATTAGTTTGTCATTAACTCACTCTGCCTGCCTGAATGGTTTGAGCATTCTGTGATTTGTCCATTGAGAAACTTATTTCAGAGCCAGGAATGTCTTTGTGGCTTATTGCAACAATTTCCTTTGCGTAAGGTCAGCAGAGAGTTTGATCCCAGTGTTTATTTTGAATGGAACCACAGGTACCAGTTAAGGGAATGAAGCAGCCTCCCAGATCTTTCCCTCCTTGTTTCTATTCATGTTTTAGTCAGTTTTGTGCATTGAGCATGTCTGTGCAAACCATTCTGTCTGCAAGCTCTGCTATACAAACATTACCTGAGCTGTTCCCATGAGGATATTGGGGTGCTTGGCCATTAAGTCCCAAGGCCAGTAGTCAAAACCCAGCCAGCCAGCTGCCCCAGACCCGCTCCCCACTGAGCTCCTTGACTCATCCTTCCTCCCTCTCCCTTCCTCCCCTACCATCTCTCCCAGTTTCCCAAATCCCATTGCTTTTTTTTCCCATCTCCCAGACTGTGCTCACCCTTGGGACATGAGTGACGTGGTTCAGTGGCATGCTGGTGATGAGCTGATGGTTGGGCTGGATGGTCTTAGTGGTATTTCCCAACCTTTATGAGTGTATGATCCCATGATTACCACTGGAGAAGCACCTGGATGATACCAAAACACCTAAAACCAAAAGCTTAATGGCCGCCTCTGGGGCCTGCTATTAACCTTCATGGCACAGCTGTGTTGGGGTCAACGCAGTGCGTTACAAAACTTCATTTCTTTTTGAGACCATAATCATCCTGTACTCCTCAGTACTGCTTGGTCTACGAGTTTGTGAAGTCTTGCTATGTGGTCCAACAGTCATGAGAATGAACAGCAAGTGAGAAGGGACGTTCCCACCTACTTGTCAGGGGCACAGTCATTATGCACAGCGTTTTACAAATGAAAGCTAGAGTGACCAGATACAAAACTCGTATTTCTCAAAAAGAAAAGAAAAAAAAACAAGCAAGAGAAGGGAGAAGGGGGATTGGTTTTCCCTGTAGAAGGTTACTACTGCATGTGTTGTTATTAAGAGGAGCTTTTTGGGCTATGGGAGGCTTCAGTCCACTTCTATGTGCCCCATCTCTGCCTGTTGAGAGAAGGGGAAGCATTCGTCCACATGGCAGAAGTACCAACCCCGCTGTGTATGAAAAGCTTCAATCCCTGGAGGTTTGCTCGTTCCACTTGTAAAGCAAGGATGTTTTTTATTATCATGAAATCATATGAAGAATTTTAAACTGCTGAGTCGTGGATAAAGCATGGGAATTTTAGACGTTGAAAATGAGCTACATAGTTTCCAGTCTCCTGGGTTTATAGTTTTATTCTACTCTTGAGAAGAATAACGTGGCTAAACGTTGGAAGATGCTTAGAACTTTTTCTTCAGAGAAGTAGAACTCAGCACGGAGCCCTGCGTGGCCATTGACTCTTGCTGTGACCTCCTATCCCCAAACCATCTTTTGAGTGGAGAAAAGTGGAGGAAGGCTTCTGGGAACATCTTGTCTGCTCTTCTCAGAATGGCTTGAGCCCACAGTCTAGCCAGAGAACACTTTCTTAGGGAAAAAAATAGGAAGTGTTGTTCACAGCACTCCTTTGTTCATTCTTACGGTCTTTCTTTCTGCCTGGTTGTCCAGAACAGTTAAAAAGAGAGGCAATGATGGGCAGCCATGTGATCATATTGAGAAATATCAAACTGTTGAAGGCAAGGTTGGATGGGGGCCCTGGGCAAACTGCTCCAGTGCCAGATCTGGAGGTTGGTGGCCCTGCCTGTGGCAGGGGCTTGGAGCTTGATGATCCTTGAGGTCCCTTCCAACTCAAGCCATTCTATGATTCTGTGTTTGCTTAGAAGGACACTACTTGCAGTACTGTTGGGTTACTGTTTCTCTGCTCCCCCTTAAAAACTTTCAGTCTCTTTTTGTTCAGAGCAGTCAGAAAAGAGCAATGTACTCATCTTTGACGTAGTGAGCACGGAAGCCATGACCTGAAGTGAGGCTGTTGGACCTCACCAGCTCTGCTGCCATACGGATCAACTGTGCTCATCTTCCCTTTGAGGTAAGAATCTTCCCCAGGTTCTTGGAGATTAACCATCGTCTCAGTGCAGTACATGAAGCCATACTATTGTCTGAACATTCTTTTTTTTTCCTTTACCCACAAGTCAGTGCCATTTAAAATGTAAGCAGTATTGTCCCAACACAATATATTTCTTGCATTTCAACCCATCTTCTCAAACCACTAAATTCAGCTGCAATGACTGCCTTATGGCAGAGCCTCCATCTCACAAACCTCTTACTGAGCTGTCATTATCACAAATTGCCCTGAATGTCTGACATCTCCCGTAGCTCCACGTGTCTTGCAGAAGGTGAGTCCATGTTCCCCATCCCTACTGAAATCAATTCTAAAAGCAACTGTGCAGTGTGATACAAACTGCATCTCCTGAGCTTGTCTGGTGTGTGTTTAAAGTCCCCTGAGAACATATCAGAGGTTTTACAGCTCCAAAAAGCCCATGCCCGAGCACTAATGGGTGAATTGGCAAGCAGATGTAACCTTGGCATTTCTTACTGCTTCCTAAAGACATAAAATCCTTTCTTTCATCATGTTTATAGATCAGTAGGTTCTCATTCTGTCTTATATTCCAGGAGTGCAGCCTGAGAGATGATCAGTGCCTATGGAAGTAAAAAATATTGCACTCACACAGGTCTTTATTGTGTTGACAGCATCATGTCTTGTAGGATGACATCTGCAAACAGGAAGCAATGGCTCCATTTGAGACAGCTGCAGAACTCCCAGTGCTAAAGGTGGCTCATTCATAAAGCCCTGTGCACATCTCCTGTTTGCTGTAACTGCAATGAATGAAGTGCTCTCAGGAAAAGCCAGACATAGACACCGTTCAGCCTCAAAGGTCCCTCCATTTTGCTCCATTATTATTATAAAGTGAGTGTTATAAAGCTTGTTTTCTTATGGTATATGGCACGGTTGGAGCCCGTTCCTTTCTGAACGCAGGCTGTCATGCTTCTCCTCACTAACTTCAAAACCGTCATGGAAGAAGAACTTTATTTGCTTAATTTGTGTTTGGTTTTGTTGTTTGCATGTTTTTATTGGTTATTATTGCTTTTTTTTCTCCCATATCCTGGGTTTTGGAACTAAACACGTTGGTTTTCTTGCTCTCCCTCATGCATCCCCCAAAGAGAATTCCATCATACAGATGTAATGCTCAGTAAGGACTGCATCTCTTGCTAAAAATTGGCCAAAATAGTCCGGGCCCGAGCCTCCAAACTCTTTAAGTAGATGATTTGCAGCCAATCTTTAATATTTTCGCTAAGTCTAGCATGTCACTTGGGGTCAGTTGGCAACCTCAGCCCAGACCAAAGGAAATGCCTTTGCAGCTTTGATGCCATTGGCTGCCGGAGCTCACTGAATTCAAGGGTGTATCCAGGGGAGTGTTGCAGGCGCAGTTAAAAGGCACTTAAGCAAAGGCCAGGAAAAGCCCGGGTTGCAGCGCGCGGCTTTTCGTTTCATCCTCCTTTTTTTTCCCCCCCCATTCCTTGGACGCGTTGCAGCGCTTCGCAGTAGAGGAGCCACCCGCGAGCAGCGCCCCCTAGTGGCCGATCCGGGAAGCGCCGCTCAGCGCCGCTCCGGGCGGCTCCCTTGGCTGGGTGCCGCCGTGGGGTCACGCCTGCCCGGTACGCGGCGCTGGGCTTTCCGAGCCGCCCGCCTGCCGTGCCGCAGCCTCATGTCCTCGCTCCCCGCCGGCACCGACATCAAGAGGGCTTTGGACAACAGCCCCGAGACAAACATCGAAGATGAACTCCCCGACGGTCCGCCGCAACCGCGGCCGAAGAACTACCTGCTCCTCAGCATCCTCGCTTGTTTTTGCCCCGCGTATCCCATCAACATCGTAGCCTTCGTCTTCGCCGTCATGGTGAGTCTCACCGTGGAGGGCGAGGGCGGCTCTGAATGCGCGACCCCTGGCTTGGGGCTGCGGGTGCGAGTAGGGCGATCCGCGGCTCTTGGCTCCCGCCCGTTCCCATCTGCTGGAAGGGGGCAGAGTGGGAGCGGAGGAGCCGGCATCGGAGTCAGTGGGGCAGAGAGCATCAGCCAGGGGGTCCGTAGCACTGTCCTAGCAGGTAACCGCCTCAGAAAGCTTTATCAGATGACAAACGCGGAGGGAAAGACAATTCGAGGCGAGTTTTCAGTTTCAGGCTGGGTGAAGGAGGGAAGTTTATCCCAGTTAATGAGATCTGTTGCATCGACTGACTCGCATGCTGAATTGGACTTACAGACTGGGAAAGCGGCAGCCGGGGAGCAGAAATCAAGTCTGCACATCAGTTAGGAGCTGTTTGCTTCAGCTGATCGAGTCTGATAGTGTCACTTTTTGGCAGTGAACAGCCTCTTCTGCACGGTGCTGAATTTGTCTGCAGGAAAAGCAGATGAAACAGGCGTGATTTGAGATCGTCGGCAAAAAAGCTTTATGTTCTTTGGGAACGCTCAGAGAACGGGCTTACTCCTCCATGTCGTAACCCATTTGCATAGCCTTAATGATGCAGCGATCCCGTTAAAACAGGAAGGGCTGATAGAATCCTCTTCTCCAGGCTGAAAGTTGCAGAGTCAGGTCCAGAGTTTTCTGATAGGACGTACGATCAGGGTAATGCTATGCATGCTGCAATGTATTTCTGTCGTTTAGGAGGTGGGAAGGTTTTAAAACATGTGTATTTTCCTCCTTTTCTCTGACAGCCAGGTTGAAAAGGTAAGCGAAAATATTGCTGTGTCTTTTTGCAATTAGCTGTTAGAATACTTGCCCATCTCCAAAGTATACTAAAGCAAACTCTGCTAACACTGCTAAGATTGATCACAATCATACCCTGATGTTGGAATATACACTGAAGTAACCTAAAGCAGCCATTCCAAGCCATCTTCATGATCCTTTTTGTTCAGAAAAGAAAAGTATTAGCTGTCTTTTTAAATTTTTTCTCTATTACTAATTACACACCACACTCTTTTCTTTGATTTGAGGATAAATGCCCCAGGTTTGGTACCCAGCACCTCTTCAGTCAGTGGGCACTGCAGGTGCTGTTTAAAGCATTGAGAGGTGATGATCTGGGGCTGTGGGATCTGTTCACCATGACAGTGCTTTCACTTTGGGGCTGTTCAGAAGTTAAATGCTGAGGGCAGAGTTTGGCCTCTAAGGACTTTTGCACCCCATATGGAGGAACGTCTGCCCACGTCCCAGCTGAAGTTCACGCAGGCTTTGGGAGTCAGGCTGAAGTGACTGTGTGGGATGTATAGAAACCGAGGTGGGAAGAGCACTTCCTGAGTGTGAAACAATCTGTGCAGGTCACAGCTGTGCGACTCCTTTAAAGGAGGGGAACCTAAAACTCAACTGATTAGTTCCACTGCGTGCGGATGCCTTCTGTTTCAACATGATTCTTCTCCATCTTCTCCATGAAAATAACATGTCTGGCTTGTTTTCCACAGCCCCATCGCCTTCCTTTTGGGGCTGCAACCTGTATCTGCTCCATTCACCTCTGCTCCAGGTTCTGCTTTTAGTCACTGCTCTGCTGGGACCTGCATCCCCCTCTCTCTGAGCACATTTCCTTGAGTTGCTACGTGTTGATGCTGAGATACAAGAGCAGTTTTCTTCTTTTCTTACTATAATTTGTATAGTTTGCCTGAGATCTTGTGTCAGAAGAGGTCTGGACACACAAAAGCAGAATTCTCTGTACCAATTTCCACTGCCTAAGATGAACCCAAGGGATGGAAAAGTCCCTTTGGCATGCAGAGGGGCATGCCCCTTTCAGCACCCTGTTTGTATGTGTCTGTCCTCCTTAAGCGTTCTCAATTCAGACAATGAAAATAGCATTCGTGCTAAAAGTAGAGTCTGGGCTCCAACACACCCCCGAATTAAATGACAGATTCGTCTTTGGTCTCTTCTGTTGCCCCACTTACAGCACTGCTTTTCTCACTCTTTTCTCACCTTTAGGGGTACAAATCTTCCCATTCCAGGTCTTGGGTGACTTGATTTTTGGACCTTTCCCAGGTCCTCCCTGTTGTGATGATAAACTTTTCTTGCTCTCTGCCATCACTGTGACTGGTAGTTCCATGACCCTTGTTGGCCTTACTCTGTACAGCACCTCCAGTTGTCCTTATTTCAAAGATTTGTGTGGCAGACTGGTCATCTGATTCTGGGTGGCTTTTATAAGTGCCTTTTAGGTACATGGACACCTAATAGCTTACAGAACATTGCTACCTACTTGGATGGGGATTAAGCAAGGCTCCTCAGCTGTTCTTAAGCACGTTCATATTGTTCTCATCTCTGCAAAATGGAACAGCTTTCCCGTCCCATAACACTTTCAACTTGTCCCCAGAGTGACAGAAGTGCAGCGTTTGCACAGAACTGTACAACCTGCAGAACAAACTATGCTGTCTCTGAGTTGTCCCCCCCAGGTCCCTCTTCTTTCTCCTTCTCTGCTTGTTGTTTGCAGCGAGGAGTCACGCTGAGCCAGCACATCCAGTTCTCCTTTGGTCTGAGTTAGGGTGAGTGTCTCATTTCCAGGCACAGTCAAATAAGATTTGTGACAGTCTGGCTTTTGCAGTAGCACAGAAAATATTGATCAGGGCACCTCCGTCTGGTCTGCCCAGAGTTTTAAGAGATGGGGGGAAGGATTTCTGTACCACTTCTGCTTCTACCGTCAGCAGTCTTGTGGCAGCGCGGAGAAGAAAACGCGCATTGAAAGGGGATTCGTGGTTCAGAGCTCATTCAGCACCTTTCTGTTCATGTGAGAATTTGCCTCATTTCTGATCAGGGCACATGAGGCTGGTGTCAGTCACTGCGATTGCTCAGTGGGCAGCTGCAGAGCTGTGGCTTTAGTTTAGTCCCTGGCTACACAGAGTGAGGTGGGAGCTCCTCGAGAAACTGTCTGGTATCAGGCTGACAGTGGCTGAAATTCATGGGAGAAGTCGGACAGAGCAAACATCACACACAGATGCTGTGTGCTGCACACACTGCAGTCACTGGAAATAATCACACATGGAACGTTGACAGCTGTGACAGTTAGTGTTGCCTGTCATGTTGAAAACTGAAGGCTCAATCTGAGGATCCTTTGAAGTAGATGGAAGTTAATTTCAAGCTTTAGCCCAAAGCCTCTTTTTTTTCCTTTTTTTTTCTTCTTGGAAGCTGTCTAAATGGCACCATTTCATTTAAGCCTCTTAATAAAGAAGCTTTCGTCTCCTTCCTGTCTCTCCCAAATCCTCTTTTTTTGTCTTTAATGCTGTTTTCCTGCTCTTTGTCGCGGGTTTCTATTAAAATGACATTACTTATTAAACTGCAGAGGGTGAATTATTTATGAAGCACCTGCAGGAATCACGCGGGTGTTCTCCAGGCTTCCTAAATACATTAGCAAAATAACACAGAACTGCAAGCTTATGCTGCCCCGTCTTCCTTACAACTCTGGCCTTACTTTGAGACCACATGTACGGGGACTTGAGTGTTTGCAGGACCACTGGTGGTCATGGGAAGCTTTTCCTTTGGTGGGCTTTGGTGGAAGCAAAGTCATGGCTGGGGTGTCAGTGATGCTTTTCCAGTGTTTCTCCCTGTAGCCACAGTCATGTTCTGTTGCCAGGTGCAGGAGAATAAGCCAGCCTGCTCATGACCGACGCAGACCGTTTTCCATTTATTGACCTTCCTGAAAGGCTTTTTTGAGAAAACCTAAGAAAGCTTTTCTGTAGACAAGAACAGTCTAGAGTGAGTTAGAACAGTGGAGTTACTCGTGCGAGAGGATCTGTGCCAGCCAACCCTTTCAACAAGAGGTTGCTCAATAAGCAGATGGAGATGGAGAACCAGGGATGCCTGTGCCACTGTTCTGCCTGAACAATTATGTGAGGCCAGCCCAATACTGTACGGAAAGAAGCCTTGGGCAGGCATCCTGCGTGTTTGTGCCCATTGTTTCCATCTCTTCCCACTTCCCCCAGGAATTGCATTAGCCAATCCCAACAAAATTTGGCAGCCAAGAGAGGAATTAGAGCTATTCCTTAGGGAACTGTAACAGAGAAATGCTTAGGCATGTAGGCTGCCAGGAAGAGGAGAAATCTATCAGTGCTCTCCTGAAGGGCAATCAGCAGCTCACTCTTTCTCAGACACGATAGTAAATACCTGTGCTTATCCTTGAGATGCAATTCTAGGAATATGGGCTTCATTGCTCTGGGACTGCCTTGGCAAGAGCGATCCTGCTGCAGTGCTAACAGCGAGGATGTAGCTAGTCCATTAACTCCTGTGTTCACTAATTGACAGACCACACAGAGATAATGTCTGTCATTATTTTTCCGCTTGGCAAAAAATGCTCTACAAACAGTGCTTGGTGTCCCATGAAGTCTAAAATGAACTTTAGTAGCCACAGTGCTTTTCTATGAAAAAGAGGAAGGATAATTAGTGAGTTGCTTCCATTTTTTCGGTGGTAACTATCTGAACAAAGAAGGCAACTGCTGGATCTGGGATTATGTGCTGATGGAAGTTATATAGCATTAAAATAGCATGAAATTCAGCATTAAGGCTAAATAAGTTTTTGAAGGTACATAGCAAATGGTGGTCATGCACCTGACTGGCATTCTTAGTGCCATTCTGAGGC